GTTGTTATGTGTTGGGGTGGGGGGGGTGGCAACAGTGGGAGGGCTTCTAATGTCCTGGCCCCACTGCTGGACCTTCTGGTGGCACCTGGCGTTTTTGGCCACTGTAGTGTTGGACTGCATGGGCCATTGGCCTGATCCAACATTGGCTTCTCTTATGTTCTTATGACCACTGCCACCAGACCTGTGGCTGAAAATGAAACTGTCCACATTTCTGTGCCCAGGCAAACCAAGTAGGGGAGGGAGGGACGTGGCTCAGTGGCAGAGCATCTGCTCAAGATGCAAAAGGTCCCAGGTTCAATCCCCGGCATCTCCAGTTAAAAGGACCAGGCAGTCGATGAACTGCATGGGGTGGAGAGAGTTGGCAAAGAGAAATTTTTCTCCTTCTCCCCAAATACTCCCGAAGAAGCTGACAGGCAGTGGGTTCAGGGCGGAGGAAAGGAAATACTACTTTACACAGAGAGTGATTCAAATGTGGAACTCGCTGCCAGAGGATGCAGTGAGGGCCACAGGCATAGATGGCTTTAAAAGGGGATTAGAGAGAACCAAGGAGGCTGTCTATCAATGGCTACTAGCCATGGTGACTGAGGGGAGCCTCCACATTCAGAGGCACTAAACCCAGAGCCAGGAGGCCACATCAGGGGAAGACCTCAGCCTCCGTGCCCTGTTGTTGGCCCTCCAGAGAGGAACTGGCTGGCCCCTGTGTGAGATGGGAGGCTGGACTAGATCGACTATTGGCCTGATCCAGCAGGGCTCTTCTGAGGTTCTTCTCAGGGGAAGGCCTTGGCCTCTGTGCCCTGTTTCTGGCCCTCCAGAGGAACTGGTTGGCCCCTGAGATGGGAGGCTGGACTAGATGAACCCTCACTGGTCTGACCCAGCAGGAGTCTTCTGCAGATCTTCTCAGGGGAAGTCCTCGGCCTCTCTGCCCTGTTGTTGGCCCTCCAGAGGAACTGGCTGGCCCCTGTGGGAGACGGGAGGCTGGGCTAGAGGGACCCTCCCTGGTCTGACCCAGCAGGAGTCTTCTGCAGATCTTCTCAGGGGAAGTCCTCGGCCTCTCTGCCCTGTTGTTGGCCCTCCAGAGGAACTGGCTGGCCAATGTTTGAGACGGGAGGCTGGACTGGATTGACTATTGGCCTGATCCAGCAGGGTTCTTCTTATGAAAGACCTTGAAATGAGACCCTGCAGAGCCGCTGCTGCCAGTCAGAGTATACAACACTGACCTTGATGAACCGATGGCCTGATTCAGTATCAAGCAGGTTCATATGTTCATGAGTATAAAATCCTGCAGGGCTCACGAAGAGTTGGTGGGAGTCCCTAGTAAGCTTTTACTTACCGAGGGGAGCAGTGGCAGAGAGGATTTATCCTCTGGTTAACATCTGAACTGAATAGAGTTGCTGTCAGTTCTAGCCCGCGCTGGTGTGAGCTACCAGCCTTGTCCCCAGCTCGCTGTCCACCCAGCGGTTCGAAAGCTTCGGCGAGTAGATAAAATGGGTACCACTCCTTAGAGAGGGTGGGCACATTGAACCCCCGTAGGGGAGGTGTTAGCCGGTGAATGGAATGTCCAGCGCGTAAGCTCGGAAGCCTGATAAAAAGACCTCTTCGGCATTAAGAAGCCTGTAATGGGCCAATCCGGCCAGGTGGTGGCAGTGCGGCGCTACGATTCAAAGCAGCCCAGGAAGAACCAACGTCATCAAGCCAAGCCGAAAAGTGAATGCCGTCCGGAACATGTCTGAAGCCTACAGCTGAAGAAAAATCCCTGTC